AACATATGCCGGCAAGGCTTGTATTTAATCTTCTCATTTTAGCTTTATAGTTCGATTTCCATTCTAGGAGATTTCTTTTGATAAAATGCGGTATACTGAACTGCATTTCTGAAAGACTTTCCCAAAAAAGCCCCTCTCGTGACCATCACAAGCTTTTTGGTGGAATTTCCTTATGTGCCCAGCGCCCCTTACAAGCATGTTTAAATTGAGTGTAATTCTCCTTACATTTTCACATTATTTTTATGTCTTGTGTCCTTTTTTAAAGAAATTTAGAAACCTTTATTAGTCTGGCCTTAGCTAAATTTAGCTCTAACTTCTATCAATAAAAACAGTTTCAGTAAGTAGAACCTAGAGGCAGTGAAGACGCTTGATCAATATGGCTAGTTCACCATTATACACCATCTTTTCTGTTTGTAAGTTTTCCTGTAAGTTTCCCTGTTCAAGAATCTGGCATGTATTCCGTCTGAGTTCCTCATAGAATCTAGCACAAGTAAATAAGACTAATAGTTTCTCTCCATTGATCTATCATTTAATTGGAGGATAACTTGGATATATATCACCTCATTTTGTTTTGTGTTTTAAATGATCCAGATATGACTACTCTGGCTATGGACAGTCATCTGGCAAGGTAATTGGCAATAGAACTTTCCTGGAATAATAAGGCTGATTATTTCATTAAGTGCTCAGGAGCATGATCCGAATTTGATCTCTAAATGCTTTATGCAGCCAAGTGAGCACAACACTTACGCAGATATTGAAGCTGCATACAAGTGTCTTGAAGAGAGCTATGGTGCAAAGCAGGAAGACATAATTCTTTATGGGCAATCTGTTGGAAGTGGTCCCACCGTTGACCTCGCTGTTCGTTTGCCTCGATTAAGAGCAGTTATTTTGCATAGTCCCATTCTATCAGGCTTAAGGGTCATGTATCCAGTCAAACGCACATATTGGTTTGACATCTATAAGGTAAAATAGCTGTCAATTGATCTATTCAACTCTTTCAGATTCACCTTCTTGTGCCTGGTTAACTGTATTTTGTTTTTTATTTGTTATAAACAGTAGTATGTATGAAAAATCCATCATTGAACATGTTTTTTCTTGTAATTATGCAGAATATCGACAAGATCCCATTGGTGAAATGTCCTGTCCTGGTCATTCATGTAAGTAAATATCCCCTCATATACACAGCATATTTGCGTGAGTTACTCTTTAATGTGGTCTTCTGTGCAATAGATGAGATTATATTGCTTCTTCAATTGATTAACTGGCAACATATGGATATATAATGAGAAACACACACGGTGAAATATGGTTCTGCGCAGTGGAACATTATCGTAGTTTACTAGGAATATCTTGTTTAGCTCTCACAGCAGCTCTGCCTGAGCGACCATCCTTTACACAATCAAGAAGGAATCCAAAAGGATTTAATATCCAATGGACACTCAGTTCAGTACATTACTGGAGCTACGTGAAATGGTTTCTATTCTTCAACCCCGCCAAAACCCCCTCACCAGTAGGGAAAAGAAGAATAGTTATCAAGGCCACATTTCTTATGAAGTGAAACATGTTTAAAGTTGATCAGTTCAATCAATTAATTAGCTAGGCGTCAGTCCCCAACTATTTGAGATTAGTTGGATGATATCAATCTCATGTCATTCAATTTGTCTACTCCATTGTCCTATTTTCCCTCCTTTGCATGTGATCTATAGTAAATAACTTTACAGTCTTCACATGAGTCTCTTCATGTCGTGCAGGGCACTTCTGATGAAGTTGTTGACTGCTCCCACGGGAAACAACTATGGGAGCTATGCCAGGAAAAATATGAACCACTATGGCTCAAAGGGGGAACACATTGTGACTTAGAACTATACCCCGAATACATCAGACATCTGAAGAAGTTTGTATCTACTGTTGAGAAACCACCTTCTCAAAGAAACTTATCAAGAAAAAGTATAGACCGGCCTGAACAATCACGAAAGAGCACTGACTGTTTTGAAGGTCCAAGAAAAAGCACTGACCGGAGAGAGAAACCAAGAAAAAGCACAGATAAGCCCGAAAAATTGAAAAACTATGACTACAAGTTCAGTGAAGATAAGATTTCTAAGCTAAGGATGTCTTTTGATCAGGTAGAGAGGTCTAGGAGGAGTGTGGAATTTTTTGAGAAGCCTCGAAGAAGCATTGACCAGCAAATGGAAAAAGCACGAAAAAGTGTGGACTGGCTAGATAGAATAAGAGCTGGTTGATTTTGTCAATGATATTTGTAAATTTCATGATCACGTCCAAGTTATTGTGGGGGAGTATAATAGTGCAACAAGTTGACAATTAAATTATGGTTATCCGGTGTTTGGGTGTGTTTTAGTTAATGTTCAACGGAGCATAACTTGTTTTTTCCTTTGTGCTTCTACTTTCTGTTGTTAAAAGAACAAGTGAGAAATATAGTTTGACATCTCATTACAGTTCTGAGTTTGATTAAGCGGCATGCATTTTGTTCTTGTTTTATCAGACGAGCTTTACCTTCCTATACCACATATGAAATCTTATTACCCTCAATGTTTAAGGTTTGAGTTAATTACATTTCAGTATACCAAATTACCATTTATATACCATAGTTCAAATAAGGGATATAATTAAGGGTGCATTTATATTAGGCATAATTATAGGACCGTATTTTTCCACTTCCCCCTCCCCACGTTTTACCTTTACCACGTAATTTCTCTCTTCTCTCGTGATTTTTCGGAAATCAGAAGTGCTTACTGCCCGGCGGCGCTGACGACGGAGACAATTGTCGGTACGGCGGCAAGCGGCAGCAGGAGATCGAACAGTGTGTGACTGGTCATGGTGATGATGGGGTTTTTTCTTTCTTATTTTTTTTTTGAAAGATGAAGAAGAGAGGACTGAAGAGACAGAGGTGATGAAATAGTTCTATGCAGAATAGTGACTTGTAGTTTTGACATTTCAAAGAAGATATATTCAACTATGCTAAAGTCTTTGGACAAATAGGACTGAAGAGACAGAGGTGATGAAATAGTTCTATGCAGAATAGTGACTTGTAGTTTTGACATTTTAAAGAAGATACATTCAACTATGCTAAAGTCTTTGGACAAATAAATGCAGTTGAATTGTAGATAAATTATAGAAATTGTAGAAAAATTATAGAAAAATTAATCTACAATTTATCTACAAGATATCTACAAACTGGATACATTGAATTTTAATATCCCAATTCCCATTTCAATTGTAGCATAATTGACATTTTCGACATAATTGCGTTTTTTATGAAGATTTGTAGAAGTTTTAGTCTTCCCAATCTACAATTTTTCTACAATTTATCTACAATTCTACAATTTATCTACAATTTCTGGAAATATGTCTTCTTCTTTTTCTACAATTTATCTACAATTTATGGAAAATATATGGAAAAACAGATTTTTTCAACTTTGAGTTGTTGAAACTCGAAAATTTGAATTGTTCGTTCATTTTTTTTCTCGAGAATTTGAATTGTAGTTCTGGAGAAAAATACGCAGATGAGAAATCTCCTTTCCCTTTTTAAAAATTGAATTTAATGTAGAATCAATTAACACCAAGATTCTCTCCTTAATTTTAGCGCGTTTTTTAGGGAATATTCTGCCCTTTTAATGCCTAATAATCGAATGGTATATAAATTGTAGTTTAAGTGTGGACTGGGCGGGTAATTAACAAACTATGCACATTTAGGGTAATAAGGTTTCATATATGGTATAGTTAGGAAAAAATCCCTTTAAAAATCTCACCCCGATTCCCTCCCCTCCCCCCCCCCCCCCCCAAAAAAAAAGTTTGGGCTAAGTCGGACGAGTGATCTGATACCTGTGTTGCTGGAAGGTATCAGGTTGCAGGTAGTCAATAAAATAGTCCAGGTATACGCAAGCTTATCAGGTCAAAAAAAAAAAAAAATAGCCTGGTGCACAAGGCATCCCGTGTTCACGAAGAGGGCCGCACCCAAAAGATTACGTGCCGCACTCTAAAGGGTGTGATGTAGATAGCCTACCCTAATGCAAGCATTAATGGCTGCTTTCACGGCTCAAACATAGGTCACACGGAGATAACTTTATCATTGCTGCAAGCTCCCTTCATGCAAGCTTATTAGGTCTATTGGTCAAAAAAAAAAAAGGGGGAGAGAAGTTAGGGAATGAAGGTGTTGGGGGAAGGGGGGGGGGGAGTTGCAGCCTTGCAGACACCATGCATCCCGGCACCTTGCTGGACAGAGGTGGTACCTAGTGACTGGGAAATTTTCAAGTACGTTAAAGAGGTTTTCCTTAATGCTTTTTGGAATATTGCACGACTCAACCTGCAGAAATAAGGATTAGGACTTCAGCACAAGAATGTCTCAAATCATACATAACCTTTTGGAAATGTATTAAACATGTGGAACTGCCCAGAATTTCTACAGTACGTCTTGGCTAGAAAAGAGGCAAGAACATCAATAGTCATGGCACTATACAGATAAGGATGAATCCCTGTACCTTCTACCCTTTTGTACTAGCTGCTCTTCCTATTTTACCATATGTGTAAATACCTTCTCTTACCACAATGACTATAACATGATTAACGTTTCTGATATTCTCACTAAAGTATATGTTAGACTATAAATGAAGAACACATTCCCCAAACCATTAAGTGTTTGAAACACCATTTTCTAATCGTTCTCGTCTTTACGTAAAGAACTTGTGGTCATCTCAAGGTAATATTCTTCTTCAATATGATACAAGAGCAGATTGTTGTCCTCACAGCTAATATGTTGTCCTCTTTCGAGTATTTCCATTTAATTTATCTGATGAAATAAGAAATATGGCTGTCCAGATAGACTATAACTTGTAAGGATTATGCTTCTACACAATCTAGTTCGTCATTTAGTTTGTTCATTTGTTTTATGCTTTCATAAGATGATATAGCTCTATTCACTTAAGCGCGTTATCTGTGTTGCTACTTTGTCAATTTATTCTACACAATTTAGGAAGCAGCAGTCAATGGCGTCTAAAGGGATGTTGTCAAATTTGCCACCACCTCCCCAAGAAATCCCCCAAAATGTGGTTCCCATGCAAGTTGAACCAGGGAAAGGTTGCGGATCACTTAGCGAGAGATTAAGGCCAAATTTTAACCAGATGAACGGACCTCGTCCAGGGGTCAAGGGAAAGAAGATACTTCTGCTGACAAATCATTTTAGAGTACGCTTTCAAGGTGGCACAAGCCACCTACATTCATACAGTGTAAGTTCATTTTATCTTGGTTTGATTAGTACATGGAAATTTGCAGAGCTAAAATATGGCTCTTTTAACTTGTGAAAGGTTAATGTCCACTAAAAAAATGGGGACCCAGTCACCCGAAGGAATTTGATTAGAAAAGTGATTCAAAAACTCTGGGAGATATACAGCTTAGAGTTAGGAGAGCAAGCATTTGCTACTGACGGGCAACAGAGCCTTTTCACCGCTTGTCCTCTACCAAAGAAGAAGCTAGAGTTCACAGTTGTGCTTGATGTTGCAACGTCGAAAAGGTAATATAAAGGCTTTAAGCATTTCGTTCGATCATCAAATGGGTAATAATTCATCTAGCATCATTTTTTTCTGTAAATCATTTTTTCTTTTGGTCTTTTCGGATGGCTGGCTTTGTCTTTAGCAATAAGACAGATGGCAACCTTAGTGGCAATGGAGACTTCAGCGAGGGTGATCAACAGAGGCAGAAGACCATATCCGGATTCAAGACTTTCAAAGTACAGATAACATTTGTTTCCATCATCCCATTTCAGTCGATGCTTGATGCACCAAATGGAGTAAAATCAGGAAATAATGAAGTTCTGAGAGCATTAGACACCATTTTGCAACATTTTAATGCAAAGAGGTGCATACTAATTCACCAAAAGCAAGCTATTTCTAGCCATTAAATCAATCTTCACTTTCTGTGTTCCCCCTTTTTTGTCCTCGACAGGAATTGCCTTCTGCTCCGCCAATCATATTTCCCCAACGAGATAAGGAACTTCATGGACTTGACTGGTGGTATCCTTGGATGCCGAGGTTTCCATTTGAGTTTCCAATTTGTCCAAGGTGGATTATTTTTTAATCTTGGTAAGTTAATGTATTTTCCCTTGTATTCCTTCTAACCATTTCTAGCAGTTTTAGTGATGCTTCTAACTTAACTTGGACAGATGTATCTACTACAACAATTATACAACCAGGTCCACTAGTTAACTTTCTAATGGCCAACCAAAATGTGGATAATCCCTTCAAAATCGACTGGACTAAGGTTACATCAACTTTCAACATCTCTCCTGGATTTTGCTGAAATTATGTGTTTAATCCAACTTTCTACCACTGCAGGCAACGGGAATCTTAAAGAATCTCCGAATTAAGCTATCACACTCCAATAGAGAACACAAAGTCGCTGGACTTAGTGACAGGCCTTGCAAAGAGTTGAAGTAAAGCCTTCAGCTTCTAAATTTTTTCCTTAATTCATTCTCGTTTTTCATTCCAATAATTTGTTTCTCTTTCCATTATGCTGTTTATTAAACAGGTTTCTTCTGAGACTGAAGGGATCCCATGATCAAAATGACAATGTCCAGACTGTTGAGTTGACAGTTTATGATTATTTTATTAGGAGACGCGGAATAGAGCTCAGTTATTCATCAAACTTGCCATGCATCAACGTGGGGAGTCAGCATCGTCCCCAGTTCATTCCTATTGAGGTAGTAGTTTTTATTTGCTTCTGTTTTTTCTTGTTATCCCAGTTCTTAATGTAATTTCTTGGATATTCCATTAGCTCTGCTCTTTGGTCTCCTTACAACGATACAAAGAGGAATTATCCATATACCAACGATCCTTGCTACTGAAGAAGTTGAGCCAAAAACGGATGGAAATCATCAACGATCTTAATGAGGTAGCTTCACACCCCTTTACTCGTTTGACAATCTATATTTTCAGACTTGAGGCATAATGCTGAAAATTATTTCTGCTTTACTAGGAACTTAAAACCAACAATTATGACACAGACCCCATGCTACGAGCTTGTGGGATCTCAATTAATAAATCATTTACTCAAGTAGGAGGACGTATTTTATCTCCACCACTGGTAGGATCTTAGTTTGATATCTAAATTCCTTTTTTTTTTTAAAATTATTATTATCATTATAACTTGATATCGGATGGCTCATACTTCCAAGTTGCTTCAATTTCAGTTGAGGGTGGGAAACAAGGTAGGTCTTGTTCCTAAAAGGTCTCGTTGGAATTTTAATGACAAGGTGATTCACATTATTTTATCTAATATCTATTTGTTCTGATTGAGGAGGACATCATTAACCTCTCATGCAGAAGTTTGCAGAGCCAAAAGGCATTGAATTCTGGGTTGTGGTTAACTTCTCTACTGGGTTTGACATTCGTTCTTCATACACCGAGCTGGCAAAATTGGGTGCAATGAAGGGAATGGTGATATGAATGACTTCTACAAGATACTTGACACATGCAAAGCTTTCTAGTTATTCACTGAATAGCATATAATTTTGTCTTTGTTGCAGCACATTCGGCCCCCAGCATTTGTTTTTGAAGAGAATCCTAAGCATAAAAAGAAACCGGGCTCTGTTCGAGTGGACCTGATGTTTGAACAAATAATTTCAAAATTTTGCAAGGATCCTCCTCGATTCATTCTCTGCTTTCTTCCTACGAAGTTTTCTGCTTTATATGGTTGTAGAAATGTATACATTCAGATCTACAATTTTTACTTTATTGGTTACTTGAATGACTCAATTTACTGTTTTGACTGTCTTAGGTCCGTGGAAGAAAAAGTGCCTTGTGGACTTTGGAATACGTCACCAATGCATTGCAATGAACAGAGTTGACGAAGCTTATCTTGCTAATGTTATCTTAAAAATGAATGCAAGAGTAGGGGACACATAATACATGCTTGGATACCTTTCCCTGATTTGCATATGTTTTTTTGTTTTTAAATTCTAATTTGTGGTTTTCTTGCAGCTTGGTGGTATAAATTTTATGCTATCAGCTGAAGTTTCACAGACCATACCCCTGGTTTCTAAAGTTCCTACATTGATCTTAGGCATGGATGTTAGACATGCTGCTTCTGCACGGTCAGATTTACCCTCCGTTGCTGCAGTAAGTCCTATTCTTGTAACATTCGCAAGTAGCCATCCTTCATTTTATAACTTCTGTGGCTGAATATTTTTGCACAGTAAAGCTTGCTGTAATTTGATAGTAATCTCCCTATTTTTGTGCATTAGGTGGTCGGTTCTAGACAGTGGCCAATGATTTCTTTTTATGCAGCATCTATTCGTGTCCAACCTCCTAAGACTGAAACTATACATTCACTCTTTAAACCAGTTTCAGAAGGGGAGGACACGGGCATAATCAGGTATGATTCTTTCCTATGCCTTCAACAACCCTTCATCTCATTTTTGGTTTGCTTGGACTGAAAAGCATATAGGACACGAACGATGATGAAGTTGGGACTCATATCAGGAGTTTGGTATAGGTCGTCTGAAGCATCTTAGGCTAAATATTTTTGTTTGTACTAGGGAGCTGCTGATGGATTTTTATGCAAGTTCAGGGAAGAGGAAGCCTGCTCAAATTATTATATTCAGGTCCAAAATCTTGAATTGATGTCCTCTACGTCCATCATAATAATACTATTATTCTCTCGCTCATTATCAGATTGAGTATTATCTTGAGATTGCATTCTTGTTTGCCTATGTATAGTCCTTGCAAACCTCAAGGAGATGGGGGCTAATTAGGATTTTACTCACATATATGAACGTCAAAAGACTTGTAAAAGGTTTTGCTAATGCAAATTTTTCAGGCAAGGTTTATGTGAAAGTCAATTCAAGCAAATTATTAACGAAGTGGAGGAAATTATTAAGGTTTGTACTGTTATCCGTTATGATCAAGGCATATTTAAATTCTGCCATGTTGCTCGCGATTCTTATTTCACTTTATGGACCACTATAGGCCTGTAAGTTCCTGGATGAGACTTGGTCTCCTAAGTTCACTCTAATTATTGCACAAAGAAGACACCACACAAAGTTGTTCCAACCTGATTCCAGTGAAAATATTCCTCCTGGTGAGCTTTCAAACCCCTACAAATTTAAGTATTAGTGAAAACACCAGCATAATATAAATACATTTGAATACTTGTCTAATGGCAGGCACAGTCGTTGATACTAAAATTTGTCACCCGCTGTATAACAACAACTTCTACATGTGTGCACATGCAGCAAGAGTTGTGAGTATTTTACTAGCAAATTAACGTTTTTTGATGAAAACTCTGAAGCAACGCTTTGTCACTTACATAGATTGTTCAGTAAGGTTTAATATACCTGTATTCACTATATAATGTAAAAGAACATAATCCAAATTTCAGGGGACTAGCAGGCCTAGTCACTACTTTGTTTTGCTGGATGAGATTGGCTTCTCGTCGGATGATGCACAAGAACTAGTCCATTGTTTATGCTACGTGTAAGTTCGTCGTGCTTATGCCTGAGTTTTACCCATTGTTTGAACTACTCTGATCTTTTCTAGTTTGCCTAACAATTTAGGTCTCAGAGATGCACCAGTGCTATATATGAAGGTAAGAACTAGTTATCAAGCCTAAGTAAAATGGATTGCTACAACTTTTTTTTCTCTCTTGATTCTGAATGACTTAAGCAGAACCAATAATAGGAAATAGTTTGCCAACTAAGTTGTCATCCTTTGATCTTTACAGTGGCTCCGATTCGTTATGCTCGTTTGGCTGCGGCTCAGATGTTAGAAATTATGAAGACTGAGGGGCCTCAACTGCCAAAGTTGCACAAAAATATCAGGGACACAATGTTCTTCTGCTGAGCTGTTGTACCACAATCTGTTAAAATGTGCAGTTTCTTTGTGCTATAAAGGCATTGGGAATTTGGGATTACAATAGAAATCTCTCTCTGATCAAATTAAACCTCAGGATGGGTTTATTGCTCTATCAGTATAGACAGTAGGACAACTATCTATTTACTGCAGCATTTTGTTTTCTTTTAATAGCAATGGCAACTTATTTTCTTGTATTCTCAATGCAAGTGTTATACTCTACCATGAATCATATCTTGTGGTGAAAGTAAAAAGTATGGACACAATGTGAAGAAAGAAAAACATTTCACCACAATGAATTTCTTTTTGGTAACCATTGTCGGAAGACGTAAATTTATTTATAGCAACAATCGCGCTTCAATCTCAAGTAAGTTGGGGTCGGCTATATGAATTCTCAATGACTACGTTTCTCCATTTTAAGCTCAACATGTCATACTCTTATTTGATGAAATAATTTATTCACATTCAGTGTTTATCCCCAAATCATATAAGTTTAACATAATTAATTGGTAATAGAAATGAGGTGCGAAGCATAATAATTAATTATGATTAAGTAATAAAAATATATGTAAATGATACATCTTGATATAAACATTAGTATAAATTTTTTCCATTGGTCTATTGGTCACAAAGTGGCTATTTCCCCTTATGTCCCCCCTTTCTATGTAGTTGACCATTACTCCATTACTAATCTCATATAAGATCTGCTCTGATACTAGCCACAACAGTGTAGTAGTTTATTTCTTTCAACATGTTTGAGCCTCATTTTCTAGATTTTTCAAATGTTGTCATCTTTTTTCTGTAGATAGTTTTATTAAATTTTAATAGTACAAAAAGTTTTACTTATTATAGATAAAAATGGTAGTATTATTTAATTTCTCTTAAAAAAAGTCAATTATGATCTCGTTTATTAATGGACAAAGTAACACTCATAATCAACTACTCCATTTCTAAATAATCATGTAAAACAAAAGCAGTGGCATACGTAGGATTTTTCACAAGCGGTGTCACTATTTCTAGTAAGAGGCCCGTAACAGTCAAAAAATATTTTGTGGAGCCAAGGGAGTTGAAAACCAAGACCTTTCACAACAAACTTGAAGCTGTCAACCACTAGACTACTAAGCTGTTTTGTTGTAAGTAAGGGTGTATTGTGGGCCAGGCCCAGCCCGGGGCAAACGGGCCGGTCTGTAGCGGTCCAAAAAGCCCACAGTGGGCCGGTCCTTACCAAAAAGCCCGCGAGCCCGGGCCGGTTCAACCGGGCCAAACGGGCCTAACGGCTATCTTTTAAATTTTTTTTTTTTTAAAAAAAGGGCCAACGGTCAGAAATTTAAAATGTAGCCGTTGGCCTGCAATTTTAGCCGTTTGGCACTTTCAAAAATAGCCATTTGGCCCTCAAACTTTGTTTTAACCCCAAATTTTGTATAATTACACTTTTTCCCTATTCTCAACTATAAATACCCCCTCATTCTTTTATTTTTACTCACAAATTCATCAATCTCTCTCAGTCTCTCTCAATCTCTCTCTAATTTTCTTCTATAATTGCTTACTTTATTATTGCAATTTCGTGAAAAATTGTGAAGTTGGTGAATTGAAGTATTCAAGTCTTCAACGATATTCAATTTTCAAGAAGTTGTTCGTCAATTCGGTAAACTCGTTTCAACTCTTAAGTTTTAATATTATAATTTTGTTTGTTTTAGTTTGTATAATTATAATTAATATGGCATTTTCTTTGAAAAAAATGTTTGGTGGTAAGGAAAAATCTAAAATTGGTGAATCTAGTCGCCAAGATACTACTCTTCCCCCGGCTCCCCGACCCAGACCTGTTACCCGTCCTCCTCCACCTGTTATTCTTGATAGTGATACCCTTGTTTTCAATTTTCCGATAGTCAATTTTGCCATGATGTTGCACCAGGTCAACAATTAAATGAAGAAGTTATGAATGCTCTTTATTCTAATCAAACTATCTTTGAAAATGATGAGGAAAATGATGATTTAGATGAAACGCAACCGAATTTAGATGATACACCTACTAGTCCTGTTAATGGTGGTATTAGCACCTTGTTGTGCTCATTCCATTGGGGGGAGGAAGACTAAAAAAGATATTGCCATTTTTGTTAATGTCGTAATAATAATAATTATAATGCATTCCCTTGAATATCTCTTTGCAATTCTTTTTTTTTTTTGTTTAAATTTGACTCTTTAGAAGATTTAAGTTACAATTCTATAATATATTTACCTATTCAAAGCAATTTACGCGAAGGACTCTCTTTAACAGAATACATCATTTCTTGCTACGGAGCCCGTAAAGGAGTTGTGGATACTGCTGTACGAACATCAGACGCTGGATATCTCACTCGCAGACTTGTTGAAGTAGTTCAACACATTGTTGTACGTCGAACGGATTGTGGCACCGCCCGGGGTATTTCTGTGAGTCCTCGGAATGGGATGATGCCGAAAAGGATTTTTATCCAAACATTAATTGGTCGTGTATTAGCAGATGATATATACATGGGTCTGCGATATATATATATATATATATATATATATATATATATATATATAACATGTCTTAGATAAAAAAATTTCAAAAAAAAATAGTCCGGACCACTTAGGCCTGGCCCATTTAGCCCGGGACTTGTGGGCTTAGGCCCACAACGGGCCGGTTCCATCCTTTGGGACCGTTTGGCCCGGGACCGCCAGAGCCCAGGCCGCCAAAGCCCAGGCCCGTTAGGCCCGGCCCCGGCCCAGAATACAGCATTAGTTGTAAGTGGTGTCACTTTTAATGATTTTATCTTGTATTTCTGTTTTACTTATTATTTTTATATATATAAATAGTAAAAAATTTGGACGAAGCGGTGTCCCATGACACCGCTTGGGTCCATATAAATCCGCCCCTGAACAAAAGTCAAAGGGAACAAACAAATTAAGTGGGAGAATTTTTTAAATTTTCCAGCCAAAGAAAAGGATAATTCTTTTCCACTTTTTCCTTTTTGAGTTTATCATGTATCACGTGGGATTGGATCGAAACGTAAAATTAATCATAAAACGTATAATATCGGGGGACAACTTTGAGGATTGGTACGAATTTAATCTTTCCAATTTTCCCCAAATTTGATATAGAGGGATAAAACGGAGCATCCGACCCGACTCGGGATGATAGTGACGTGATGACGTGGCATGATTTGTGAGCAAAAAGATCAACGTCAGCTGCTGCCTATGGTGACCCTAACGATCTTCTCTTTCTTCCCCAGCAAAACATCGTCTTCTTATATTTAAGCCGAAGCCAAAAACAGGAAAAATTGAATCTGAATTTGCAGATAGAGTGTCTGATTCGGCAACTGATCAAATATGTAAGCTGTAAAAATATTTATTTTGAAGTTTTAGAATACTCAGAACTGATTTGCGTGACTTTAGTTGAATTCTGATGATTTTTTGTTGTTGTTTGTGTTAGGTCATACGAAGAAGTTGCTGTTGGAGCAATTAGGGATGCTTTAAAGGCTCTAAGAAAGCGGCATTTAGTGGAGGAAGGGGCTCATGCCCCTGCTTTCCTTGCCCTCACTCGGCCTCTCGTTTTGCAGGTCCCCGCCCCCTCTATTCTTCAGTTGCCTTTTTTTTTTTTTTTAAATCTGAGTTTCGTAATTTGGTTGATTTATGTTTTGATTACGCTTGATGGGTGATGACTTCATTGAGTAATGATCATATCTACTGCACGCAAGTTTCACAATTTTGTCAAAACTAATGATTTACAACAAAGCCTTTTGTTTTTATTGAACAAAGAGATTGTATGGATGTTGATGATTATATACTTTTCACACTTAAAATCAGTAAATGAGTTGTCCGGCATACAGTATCTTGGACGTATTTCAATTTGGCATTTTCATTTATGTTTTGTTTGTTTGACAGGAACATTCTATGTCGGTAGAATTTCATTAAATTTTTTGTTTATGGCTAATAATTAGGCCTGTACATTAGTTGATTTCCCTGGTTTTATGTCTGTTTGGATCATGGCGGACTTCCAAAATTTTCAACTTAGATGTATCTTTTGTCTATTCTTTTATGTGATCTTGTATCAATCTTAGTGTTTGAAACAAACATTATTCATCTATACACTATTTCCTAAGTTTGAGCTTTAAACAATCAAGTATTCCAAGTCACAAACGGATGGACCTTGTTCCCCATCATTTTTTTGTTTTGTTTTGGGGGATCAAGACCTTGTTCCCAATCAGTTATGGGCTACCACCTCCTCCAGCTCCTTTAGACAATAAAACAAGCAAGATAGAAGTTAAACAAATAAGAAAATTGAAAGCTTAGACCATTAATGTTTATGCATAAACAGAACAGAAGGTAAATTTTTTTTTGTTTGAATTGATGTGATTAACAACATACGAAAGAGCTCTTTGTATATGAGTTTGAGCTAATAAAATAAGAAAACTTTCCTAATTCTTGGGATTCTTAAATATTATGATAATAATGAAATAATCTGTATGTGAATTGTGACTATGTTCCCTCAAGCTCAAGTCGGATTGGGGGGGGGGGGGGGGGCGACAAAATGAAATTTAATCCTATCCTGAGAGGCATCCATGAGAAATGACTGAATTTGAAATCACGCATGCTGCCAGCTTATCAAGACTACCGACAAAGACTGTCATACTGTCAGCATTACCAGATCTTTGTTCAAATCATAGTGCTAAATAAATGATAAGATAATAATATGATGCTGATTTGGCAAAAGTTAGCCATTAACTTGAAATGTGAACTAGCCTACTTACTTGACAACCTCAACACCATGAATGGAGGACTTCATGATCGCGGTTTCGCCGTTGCTTTCATCTTAACGAGACTCAGCTCCAGAAGACAGAACTTGGTACAATGTGAAACTAGAAAAGAAAAGAGAAAAATTCTTGTTGAATAGAGTATTAACAACATATAAGAGGACTCTGTGCATAGGAGCATTGAGCTGATCAAATAAGGAAAGTTATTCTTTGTATTCCTATTTGTTATGACATGATAACTGAATATGTTTTACATAGTATTCCTGTCGATTCTCTTGACTTCCATTGACTTTCAAGAAAAACATAATCGTTAAGAATGTATGTAATATGTTTAATATTTCTCTTTACTATTAAGTTTTAACAGTTCATATTTTTAAGTTTTTGCCAGGTGATGAGTCACTTGCCATGCATGATGTCGAATTTACTTATCGCCCTTAATGTCATGCTTAACGAATGAGATGCAAGTTAAACTGACCAACTGCAGCTTTCTACAACGAATTTTTAACTACAACCATCGAATGTGGAATTTCTTGCACTAGGTCACTTCTCTTCTAGGTATATATTGCTGAAAAAGGGTTCTTGTGCTTATGTAGTTCCTATGATTTTAGGGTTCAGAGTGGAAAGAGAAAGCTGAAAATCTTGAAGTGGAACTTCAGCAATGTTACAAAGCTCAAGCACGTCTGTCGGATCAGCTTGTGGTGGAAGTAGCTGAATCAAGAGCATCAAAATCTTTAGTTCAAGAGAAGGAAGCTATCATTACTGACCTTCAGAACGAGCTAAACGAATCAAGGTGTTATTCTCATCCTCTTAATCATTTGCCATTCTAAATTATACTCTTACCTTTTTGCGGAAAAAAAATGCGAAAAGCAAAATGAAAAAAAGAAGGGACAGAAATAAAGAACACAATAGGGATTGGTTAGAATTCTTTAGCAATATGACATGTTACCAAGTTTTGATTCTGTTTCAAGCTTCTGAAAGTGCCTTCATATTTAAGATCATAACGAGTATCTTAGTTTCCCAATTTACCAAATAAAAGTTTACTATTTATGTCCTAAGATGAGCTCAGCAAGTTTACTTTGGATGCGCGGATGGAGTGTAACTGCTCTATTACTTTCTTTGATGGGTGTGCTGCAGGGATGAATGTTCTCGTTTAACTGAACTTCTTGCGGAAAAGACTAAAGCTTTGGAATTGATTATGGGTGAGCACCAGGACCTTAAAGCACAACTTGAAGCAATGACTCTGAGAGCAAACAATGCTGAGGCAGAAAATAAAACGTTAGTTGATCGTTGGATGCTGCAGAAGATGCAGGACGCTGAGCGCCTTAACGAGGTGTTGAGTAATTCCTGCTGTTTATCCGTTGCGTGCTCTGCTATTTGTAGCTCTTTAATATTTAAGCTCAATTGTTCATAAAAAATTGAGTGTTCATCAGTCTTCGATACTGTCAGAGAGCTGAAATGCGTACTTTTGTTGCAGTAAACTATGTTTTTTTTAACTAGTGGTAACCGCAATTAAAAAAATCTTCATTAATTTAGGCTTGTTGTCATGAAGATTTCCCTACACTTAATATAACCCTCAACCTTGTTCTTCCTACAACTATTGTTCTTGTTGCCCATCCATGTGGTACGTTCGTTTTTTTTAATAATGGTGGTGTCAAGGCTAACTTGTGCGCACCTAGAGTATTCCACCGGGTACTTGCTCTCTCCCACCAACACAAGTATCGGGTAATTCTGCTCATCAAGGCTTAGGAAGATGGGAAAAAATCATCTAATATTTTTTATCTCTGCTGGGAGCTGAACCTTGGTCTCCTTTCATTTTCACCCACTTCATTGACCGCAAGCCACACCTTGGGTTCCATCCATTCGGCGCATTCTATTTTTTGAGACTTCAATGATGAAGAACTACTACTAAATTTAAGCTTACTTTTAGTATAATCTACTGCTTTTGGGATGTGGACAAAAGCTAACCCAGGATAAAGAATTATCATATTTTATGATCGTTCAAATTGTAATTTCTTGTGGTTTTCTGAATATGCTGAAAGAAAGCACCCATACTGATACTCCAGATGCTCAATATTTTACTTTCGCTCATGCTGGAGTGGCTGGTGAGGAATTCATTTCTGGGGTATCTCCAATATTTACAGTTCATAATGACTTTTTCATGTCAATGAAGTGTAGAGTTTCTGAAATCTGAAAATGAACTGCTAGCGAGGATTATTATTGGTTGGTCAACATGTATTTATTCAAGGAATGGTAGATGGTATCTTTGCACTTTTATTGCGAATAGGGCTTAGCAACTGTTTGGCAGTAGTCCTGCATGCTAAAAATTTTAATCATGTTAGTCTGCTGCCAAAAATAGGAGGCAAGCTCCATCTGTTAACAAGTTATTCTACTGTGAATCTTCCCTGTAATCTGAACAAAATTCAAATCTTTGACAAGTTGGGCTAATTCGTTGGAACTACCAATGATCATTTTCATTTCTCCTAATAGAATAGTAGGGTTAGGGGAACTGCGTTTTCAGTCAGTATTCTTATATGTTTTACCATGGATAGGTTCTCTTGCATTTACTTATTTGCTACTTTTGTGGTTCTAGGCTAATGCTCTCTATGAAGATATGCTGGATAAGGTCAAGGCCACCAGTATAGAGAAACTTGCTCGTCAACAAGTGGATGGTGTGGTCCGCCAAAGTGAAGATGGTGCAGACTTCTATGCAGAATCTTCCCTTCCTAGTATATGCAAGCAAAGAATCCCCGCCCATGATGGTGGATGTGCCTCGATTCTTTTTGAGTATAACTCCAGTAAATTGATAAGCGGTGGGCAGGACCGGGCAATTAAAATGTGGGATACTACAAGTGGATCATTAAGCAACAGTCTTTACGGTTGTCTGGGTTCTGTCCTCGATCTTTCCATTACACATGATAACAAATACATCATTGCAGCAAGTAGTTCAAATAACTTGTATGTGTGGGATGCAAATTCAGGCAGGATACGACATACTCTTACTGGGCATGTAGACAAAGTTTGTGCTGTAGACGTGAGCAAATTTTCAAGTCGATACGTGGTGAGTGCTGCGTATGATCGTACCATAAAAATTTGGGATCTGCAGAAGGGCTACTGTACTAACACTATTATCTTCCACAGTAACTGTAATAGCCTTTCGTTTAGCATGGATGGCCTGACCATTTGTTCCGGTCACGTCGATGGGAGTCTTAGATTATGGGATATTCAGACAGGGAAGCTTCTGAGTGAAGTTGCTGCACATTCACAGGCTGTTACATCAGTTTCACTCTCTCGAAATGGAAATGTAATATTAACCAGTGGGAGAGACAACTTGCACAATCTATTTGATATTCGTACCCTTGAAATTTGTGGCACTTTCAGAGCGAATGAAAACCGAGTTGCATCTAATTGGAGTCGTTCCTGTATCTGTCCAGATGACAGTTATGTTGCTGCTGGTTCTGTTGATGGATCTGTTCATATTTGGTCAGTAGCAAACGCTAAAATGGTAAGCACTTTGAAAGAACACACGGCCCCTGTTCTATGTTGTTCATGGAGTGGTCTTGGTAAACCTCTGGCTACCTCGGATAAGAGTGGAATCATATGTATTTGGTCATAGTATCACTTCAGAGTTCGGAATGCTCTAGTGTTGAGTAGTGACAAGATTGTTCAGCCGTTATAGATTGCTCAGTAATTCAGCTTTCAGTCCGGATCTTGAGTGTGTCAGTGTTGATTTTAGATGTGAAAGCTCAATTTAAGACATCATATTGACTGTGAAGCCATAAATGGGTATCCTCCATCCGAAGATCATGCCAAAAGGCTGACATTGTAAATAAATTAAGCTTCTAAGCTGAAAAAGTAGAAATCTTCAATTGATATTGATTGGAAAGTAGATATTGATTGTCAAATGTTCATTATTCATGGAAAAATAAGGTGGTCTTTCGTGGTGATAATTTTCATGTGTATATTTTGTGTTCAGAAGTTTGGCTGTTGAGCTTAGTGTTGCTTGTAGTTGGGGTCACAAAATTAGCGCATTCAAAATGATTGGGCGGGTGGGTCAATTTGGACATAACCTAAGTTATTGAAGAATTAACCTAAATAGTCGTCCACCCAACCGTTTGAACTAAAAATAGCTGGTGGAGGTATAATATATACATAAGTTATGTATTATATGTGTATAATTATGGATAATTAATGTACAAACTATGTATATGGCTAGAAAAAGTAAATAATGAATATGGCTGGCTATTTGTGTAAGGATCCCAAGTTAATTCCAAAAAATTGCACGGGCACCCTATTGCCCCCATTTAACCTATACCAACTTTTAAAAAAAGTTTTAACTACCGACTTTTTAAACAACTTCAGGCCTCTTTCTCCTCCCCCCCCCCCCACCCCCCCTTCCTCCTCCTCCTTCTTCGGGTGACAGTGATTTTATATGGTATTTGTGAACATATTTTAAGGTAGTTTATGATGTTTTACGGTGGTGAGCTGTTATGACGCTTTATTTTTACTATTGCTTAGGGTTTCTTCTTCTTCTTTTTCTTAATTGCAAAATGGGCTCATTAGATTTATTGTTGTTTTGACAAATTGGTGATTGTAGTTTGTTCATGTTGATATTTGGAGGCTATATTTCAAATTTGAGTTCATTTGGAGTGGATTTAGGTATTAAATCGTATATTTGGTTGTTATAATTCGAAGAATAAATTTCTGTTTCTAGGCAATTTGCATTTCAGGTCTATTTGGCCTTAAGTGCATGAAAACGTTAGTTGCACTTCAGACCTTTTTACCTTAAGTGCATCTGAATTGCAATTTTTCACTTCAGACTTATTGGCCTTAAGTGTAGCAAAACGTTTGTTGCACTTCAGATCTTTTGGCCTTAAGTGCATGTGAAGTACAATTTTTCACTTCAGACTTATTGGCCTTAAGTGTAGCAAAACGTTTGTTGCACTTCAAACCTTTTGGCCTTAAGTGCATCTGAAGTGCAATTTTTCACTTCAAACTTATTGGCCTTAAGTTTTGTTGCACTTCAGACCTTTTGGCCTTAAGTACATCTGAAGTGCAATTTTTCACTTCAGACTTATTGGCCTTAAGTGAAGGAAAACGTTTGTTGCACTTCAGACTTTTTGGCATAAGTGCATATGAAATGCAATTTTTTACTTCAGACTTATTGGCCTTAAGTGCATGAAATCATTGGTTGCACTTCAGACCTATTTGGCCTTAAGTGCAATTTTTTCACTTCAGACTAATTTTTTTAACTTCAGACCCGATAAGTCTAAAGTTGATCGTAAAGTGGGTACGCTTGCAATCATATTTTGTAAAGTGGGTATAGTTTCAATTGTGATCCCAAAACCGGGTATAGATGCAAAAACCCCAGTTAATTCATCTAAAAGTTGGGCTGATTTGGCCTTAATATGTTTGTCAAAGAGAACTTGTCAAAGAGGGTGTTTGGATTGGCTTATTTTAAGTGCTTACTGGCTTTTAAGCACTTTTTTAGTTTTTGTTGTGTTTAGCAATGATAAAAAATGCTTAAAATCACTTATTTTTAGGCATAAAAAATACAAAAATGAGCCAAAAGCCAAAAGTTGGATATTACCAACTTATGGCTTTTGACGTTTAGCTTATAAGCTACTTTTTAAAAGTCAATCCAAACACCCTTAAAATATTCTTATTCAACTTATTTTTGGTTTGATATGTTATAGATAAGGGGCAATATCATATATACCTACTTTTGGGATTACCACAATGTTATACTCGCATTGCACAAAATTTTGTAAAGTATACCCCTCGGATCTGAAGTAATTCAATCTCTTCAAAGCAACTTCAGAAATCAAATCTGAAGTTCTTCTATCTTTCAAATGCGACTTTAGAAATTTGAATCTTAAGTAGTTCAATCTATTGAATGCAACTTTAGATTTCGAATTTTAAGTTCTGAACATAAACTTGTTTTTCGAATTTCAACAATCCAATGCATGATTCAATGCTCAAATCTACTCCAAATGAGCTCAAATTTGAAACATGACTTTCAAATATCATAAAGAACAAATCTCAATCATCAAATTGTCAAAATAATAATAACTTTAACAAACCTTTTGCAACTAAGAAAAAGAAGAAGAAACTCTAAGCACAAAGAAGAAGAAAACAACAGTAAACAAGAAGAGAAAAGTGTATGAATCTGAAGTTATCCAAAATTTGGGGATCAGTTAAAATTTTTTTAAAAAGTGCGTACAAATTCAATGGTGGTGCAAAACTGAGTGCCACATGAAAATTTTACTATAAATAGCTGTAATAAAGAGAAAATATTTTATTAGTTTTGTTTGGTGATTAAACAAATTATAAGAAAACAAACAAACAAATAAAAAGTTTGTTAGAGTTGGGGGGTTAGATAATGATCTATTATTAGCATATTTTGATTTAATCCATCTCACTCCTAGTAACGTTCGCATGGGTTAACAATTCATGCCATTTTGATGCGTCCAATTTCAGTCCAACCAGCTCATTTGCTGTTTTTACTTGCCATGTTCGAACTCTCAATTTTCATACTCAATCTACCTTTTGTATCATAATTAATTCCAGAATTATCTAATAATTAATTTCGTCATTAGGAAACAATGGAGGTAGAATCTAATTAATAAAATGTGTAATATTCCTCAAATTAACTAATAGAGGCGTCAAGAAATGTTAATCTTAGAGCCTGTTTGGCCAAGCTTCTAGGAGGCCACCAAAAGTACTTTTTTTGGCCAAAAAAGTACTTTTTGAAAAATTTAACGTGTTTGGTCAAAATGAAAAAGTACTTCTTAGCAGCAGTAGAAGCAGTTTTTCTGCTTCTGATGAGAAGCTACAAATTTTAGCTTCTTCCAAAAAGTAGAAGCAGAAGCAGAAAGTTAATTTATTCAAGACAAAAATAACCTTACAATAAATTTATATTTTTCAAATTATCCCTCATTAATTAATTTTTCTTTTCCTTTTCCTTTTCTTTCCTGCTATACATTTATTCTCTTTTTTATTTTAATCAATTTTTTATTCTCTTTCTCCTATTCTTAAGAGTAGATTTTAAATTTATATTGAATGATGTATTTTGACATATTTAAATTATCATGTAAATAATAAGTAATACCAAACACTCAATATTGTTTCTTTGGAATAACTATATTTATATTAATTAAAATTTTTAATTTATATTTTTACTTTACGTTTTATATTTTAATTGAATTCTTTTCTACTAAATGTTTAAATTTATTTTTCTTTTCTAAATAATACTAATCGCAAATTTAAACCTTTACTGTCCTTTTTCGTAATTTGATACTTAAAAGTGCTTTTTTAAAGATTGGCCAAACACGATGAGCTTGCAAAATGCACTACTCAAACGAATCGGCCAAACACAAACTACTTATTTTGCAAAAGTACTTTTTCATAAAGCACTTTTGAATAAAAGCGCTTTTCAAAATAAGTAGTTTTTGGCAACTTGGCCAAACGGGCTCTTACTTAAAAAGTATAATGTGTTATAAATAGAATTGTATTTATGGTGAATGTCTATATTTAGAGAGATTCTAGGGTTCATTGCTTGGTGGCTAAGTCACCCTCTCCCTAGACATAGAGGGTTCTATTCTATTGTAATTCATCCCAAAATCAATAAGAATTCTCTCTCACTACTTTTCTTTGCAATATTATTCTTCTTCTTTTATTGTTTTATAACACGTTATCAGCACGAGACTCTAACCAATTGAGTAGAAGCTTTGGGATTGAGCATAATAATTGTCAATTGTTCCATGAACTTCCTTCATGATTAAATTCTGGATTTAAGGTAAGTATCTTACTTTATTTTTCTGTTTTAAATTCTTGAAATTCTATAATTTAATTTTGTATACAAGCAAAGACAACAAAGTTTGATTATAACTCTAATGGAGTTTGTAAGAAATTATCACCACCTGAAGTGGTAAAATTTCTATGTCTTGCCATGATCAAATTCATGTATGATTATGAGCACAAGAAGTGGAAACCTGTCCCATTGAATTTGCTCCATTCTCATTCCCTTAAGAGAATGTGATAACAATATGCAATAAGTCTGAAAGAAGACAAAATTATTATCATAAAGGTATCAATGGATGTGGACGTGGTAATAGACGAAATTATAATCGTCATTATCGTGGTAATGAGAATAATAAGGATTCTCAAAATAAGCCTTCACTCTATGAAGTTAATGTTTGTCATCGATTTGACATAAGATTTCGTAAAGCACATACAAATGACTATGGTTCATTCATGATGTGAATGTGAAAACATCTGATTTATGAATACATATTCATTCTTGGAAGAATATAAATGTGCTAGTGGTAGTGAATATACCACACTCACCTCTAAAAGGAGGTTTGAGATGATATAAGAAAATAATGTCATCATTATGGCATGAATGGTCATTGGTTACGTACCTATTGCACGCCAAATATTTTGGCAGTGTGATTATTAATGAATAACATTAATGCAAGAAACATATCTTGCATATAATTATGACCATAACCATAATGATATAACTTTCTCTTTAAAAGAGATATTCACCATATGGATGTTGATGAATATGTGGTAGTACCAAATTAATTGAGAGCTCTGGAAGAGCCAATTATTACTATTTTAGAGGAATAAAATTGATTATCAATAAGGCATTATGTTGTAGTAAGTCTCAAAGAAGCTTAGTTCCTAAAGTATTCGCGAAAGCCGTTGGTCATACTGAGATAAAGGAAAGATTTAATATCTTCTATTACTACAACTTGTAGCGGGGTAATATGTATGTGAAAAGCTACCCGCTTTATTCTCCAGTTTGTACTACACAAACAAAAGAATGTCACAATTAAGTGGATATTTATTGATATAAAAACCCATATCATAATAAACTTGGATTTTATCGATAATTGCACACGTCATGGTGTAAACCTAGTCTTTATCAATATTGATAATTTATCCAGTTGGCATA